ATCATAGTACCCGTCGGAAGCATGTCGAGAATACGGCGTCGCACTGCCAACACCTCTGATGTTCGTCATTCCACTCTTAGACACGGAAGACTCTTCTCCTTCACCCATACTTGCTGAATCTCACAGAGAACCAGCGATAACAACCATTAGAGCTTCGAACTTCGAAGTTCTTAACACACAAACAAAACACTTCTAGAACTGCTCTAATACCATGTAAACTTAGGAGTTTGTGTTCTGAATATACTTTTTTATTAGACAAGTTAAGCCTTACAACGTATATATACAACTCAAAGAGAAGATATTCCTAAAACACGAATTGGAAATATCCCCAATAATAACGGAATTTATCCTTATATGAATAATGGAAATAGTCGATGTGATCCTTGGTACCCAAGGATCCCTAATAGTTATGGATAACTAATAAGCATTGGTTGGAATACAATTTGTTCAGTTCATTTTCTTCCAACGGTTGGATGACTAGCTAATACTCATTTGAGTTTCCCTCCTAAAAGTGGAGCCACTAGTTTACACTTCACATGTTGGACTACTCTCTACTATATACTACTTCCATTATATCTAACTCAGAGTCACCAGTACCGGCTCTAAGGGGTGGCAAACATGGCATATGCCATAGGTCCATCTTAAAATTAATTAAAGTTAGTGATAAAATGGGTCCATATTTATGTTTGTTTCTTACAAAAAGGGTCTAAAATATTTTGTCTAATACATAAAAAAAAACTTTTGTCCAAGGTCCAATATAGTTTTAAGCCGGCACTGAGAGTCACATGTGCTGGATCCAAAGTCATTTATGAGGGAAATACCTCATTGAAATATGCGGAGAACATGGGGCGATTCTCGTGGGCCAATAAGACGAACAAGATCCCATCTATGCAAGACGTCAGACTAGGATTGATGGCAGAATGATTAATGCAATAAAAGAGATTTCAGAGTGAAATAAAGTGATACGTGACCATTTAACCCCACACGATCTATTCAACGGAGACTCCTCTCTGCTGATTGAACATCAAAAAATCATTCCATTGCTTACACAAAAGTGATGTGGAAACCTATACTCTAATGGGATCACCAACAGGGCAACGAATATGTTTTGAACAGTTTTTTTTTTTTTTGGTAAAATGTTTTGAACAGTTGACAGGCCTTGATAAATGATAACATATCAGAATATATTTCACTCGCTCGTAGCTCGTAGGCCTACCTTTAAACCATAAAATCGTCTTCTTTTTATAGAAGGAATACGTTTTTCCAACGACAGAAAAGGAATTTAAGTAAATCAATTTCCTTAGACGCCAATCATGAATTTGAGTAGAGAGCAAGACTTCCTTAGTATTGTGCAAGTATCCCAAAATTAAATGTCAAATCACCACAAAATATCTCAGCAAATACGATTATACGATCTACAATTCGCTTAAATGAGTTTCGGTGCATCCACGTGGCGCACCTTCACAGTTCACCGTCCGATCAACTCACAACGACATAACAACATGAATCAAACAACTAGTGCAGCGTGTTCCGCCACATACGCGACCATAGCTTCTACCAGATCCACCAAACCCTTAAAACAATCAGAGCCGTCCGTTCAATTTAACCTCATCTATTTATACTCTGTCACTCCCTTACGTTTCTCCTCACACTCTCCTCTCTATCCCCTCTCTCTGCCCTAATTTTCAGATCCGAAAGAAATGGCGTTGGTCGTTGAGAAGACGTCGAGTGGCCGCGAGTACAAGGTCAAAGACATGTCTCAAGCCGACTTCGGTCGTCTCGAGCTCGAGCTCGCCGAGGTTGAGATGCCCGGACTCATGGCTTGCCGTACCGAGTTCGGCCCAGCTCAGCCCTTCAAAGGCGCCAGAATCACCGGATCTCTCCACATGACGATCCAAACCGCCGTCCTCATCGAAACTCTAACCGCCCTCGGTGCCGAAGTCAGATGGTGCTCCTGCAACATCTTCTCAACCCAAGACCACGCCGCCGCGGCAATCGCCCGTGACTCCGCCGCCGTTTTCGCCTGGAAAGGTGAGACGCTTCAGGAGTACTGGTGGTGCACGGAGCGTGCTCTCGACTGGGGTCCAGGTGGTGGCCCAGATCTGATCGTTGACGACGGTGGTGACGCCACGCTTTTGATCCACGAGGGAGTGAAGGCTGAGGAGATCTTTGAAAAGACGGGTCAGGTTCCTGATCCCACTTCTACCGATAACCCTGAGTTCCAGATCGTGCTTTCGATCATCAAGGAAGGTCTTCAGGTTGATCCCAAGAAGTACCACAAGATGAAGGAGAGACTCGTTGGTGTCTCTGAGGAGACCACCACTGGTGTCAAGAGGCTTTACCAGATGCAGGAGAGTGGAGCCCTTTTGTTCCCAGCCATTAACGTCAACGACTCCGTCACCAAGAGCAAGGTACTGATTTCCTACTTCTCAGATCGCTTGATCACTAGGGCTGGTCGGTTTCAGTTTTTGGTATATTATTGTGTTCTGAGCTGAACCGGAACTGTTTAATACTTCGGTTTATCTGGATAAGTTGGTATTCTGAAATTAGTTTCTTATATTCGGTTATTTGGTGCACTTATTCATTTATTCGGTTTGTAAGTACACGGGACTGAAAACGGATTGAATTTTCAAATCTGGCCAATCGGTTTGGGAGGCAATCTGAAAACCAATAAGTCTCATTTAGTTTGGTTTCATTTGGTTTGAGCCGCACCCAGCATTACTGGTCGCTTTAGATGTTGGTCTTTTCATATCGTTGACTAACATTGGATGAAACGATGACATATTTAAAATCTTGTGTTTTCTAATTACAGTTTGACAACTTGTACGGTTGCCGTCACTCTCTACCTGATGGTCTCATGAGGGCCACTGATGTCATGATCGCCGGAAAGGTTGTCGTTGTCTGCGGATATGGTGATGTCGGAAAGGGTTGTGCTGCTGCCATGAAAACCGCTGGTGCTAGAGTCATTGTGACCGAGATCGATCCCATCTGTGCCCTACAAGCTATGATGGAAGGGCTTCAAGTTCTGACCCTTGAGGATGTCGTCTCCGAAGCTGACATCTTTGTCACCACCACCGGTAACAAAGACATCATTATGGTTGACCACATGAGGAAGATGAAGAACAACGCCATTGTCTGCAACATTGGTCACTTTGACAACGAGATTGACATGCTTGGACTCGAGACCTTCCCAGGTGTGAAGCGAATCACCATCAAGCCCCAGACCGACAGGTGGGTGTTTCCAGACACCAAGTCTGGAATCATTGTTTTGGCTGAGGGTCGTCTCATGAACTTGGGTTGTGCCACTGGTCACCCGAGTTTCGTGATGTCTTGCTCTTTCACCAACCAGGTGATTGCCCAGCTTGAGCTTTGGAATGAGAAGTCGAGCGGTAAGTACGAGAAGAAGGTTTACGTTCTACCCAAGCATTTGGATGAGAAGGTTGCGGCACTTCACTTGGGCAAGCTCGGGGCTAAGCTCACTAAGCTGACAAAGGACCAATCTGACTACGTCAGCATTCCCATTGAAGGACCATACAAGCCTGCTCACTACAGGTACTGAGAGAGAGTTGATGTTTGGTTCTGGTTGTGGTTTGTGTGGAAGAGATTGGTCCTCTGATGAAGTTGACCATTCTGAATAAGGGTTATTGGCTTTGAAGGTTGTGCTTGTTGTTTTTTCTTTTTTCTTAGAACTTAAATTAGCTTTCGGTTATGGGTTCCCTCTTGATTTGCTTTTGTGTTGTGATCACCATTGTACTCTTTAAACGAAAAATGGAAGAGAGGAAACTATTTTCCGCACCCAATTTTAGAGCTTTCTTTCTCTTTTACCTTTTTATGTTCCTAGTTGAAAATGATGTGATGCTGTATTTTCAAAATGTGGGCTTTACTATTTTTGGTAGTTACGATTTTAAACCAAATCGTAGAATTCATGTATACCACATTTATATTGTCAGCGACTAATGATGTGTTTATGTTCCATCAGCACAATAACTTTTACGATGCCCTTTACTAATAAATATCCTAACTATGTTAAAATATCTGTTGAACTTTTTATAATTCAGTTATTTGATAAAAAAACATTATTTTTTTTACACGAAAAATCTAAGATTGCAATTATCATCATTTTATTTACACCGTCTATTTTATTAAAATAGAAATATTCATAAAAATACATTTTTAAACTTACACAATATTTATAGCTCAATGCCATTGAAATAATTAATGATCTTATCTTTAAAGAATCTTTATCTTTTTCTATTTTATTAAAGAGTTGGCTGCATATTTCCCCCCTTAAACACATAAACCCTACTTATTTCCCCCTAAACTACTAAGCTCTTTCCTAACCCACCCAAACATATATATTCTCTTCATATTTCCCCCTAAACTTTTTAAACCCCCTTTTTTAATTGATTTCTCTAATCGTGATTAATAAATTAAAAATTGCGTTTAGAAAATAGCGATTACCCAATTAAATTAACCCATCCGACATTTTAAAAAAATCATCCCATTATTAATCCCAAATTAATTGGGTCCTGTTTGTTATAGTGGACAACTCTCAACCATCAGTCTAGTTTTATCCTTGTTAACATGGATGGTGCAAGGCAACCTCTTCCACTTACCACTGTTTATAATCGTTTGTAGCCTATTAATTCCTCTCCCTATGCGTTTCTTCAAGCCTTATTCTTCCCTGAGTATCCCGTGAGTATATATTTTGAGGATCTGATGTTTACTTGTTCTTCTCCATTTCCTTTTTTTTTTTTAACTTTTGTGATCATTTCGTCTTCCAAGGTTGGTCTACTTGATGTAGAAAAGATATATTACCACCTCGGAGAGACTTAACAGTTGTTAGCATCTGTAGTTTTAACAATGGAGTTCCTGAAATCAAATCCTGCCAAGATCTTCCTTACTTCTTGTGAGATTTAACAATACCTAGTCCAGTGTTGTAATTGGCTCTCTTGCAGTTTCATGTATAAATATTTTTGAATAATATTTGCAGATCAGAGATGACAAAGGACAAGATAATTATGGACCTTACGGAGACTACCAGTGTCATATTCTGGGGCAGTGTAATCATTGGATATTTGTCTGTTGGCATCCTTGGCTTTGCTGCTGTCAAGTACTTTGCTAGTGAGAAACATACAGTTTTGGATTTAGATAGTGTTTTGTTTCTAACGTTGTTCTATCTTCAGGGTCTGGAATAGATGGAAACTGCGGCACCATGAAAGAGAACAGCAACAGAGTCCAGATGAACAGAGACCAGAGAAACACGTGGTTGCTGATGAGACAGAAGATGAAGATGATATTCCGGATGGAGCTCTGTGTGTGGTATGTGTGACAGTGTGACACGAAGGAGAGTTCCTACTTTCATTCCCTGTGGACATGTAGTATGTTGCAGACAGTGCGCCTTGACCGTGGAATGTGAGGTTAACCCTAAGTGTCCTGTTTGTCTCCAGAGCATTAGAGGATCTATGCGCGTATACTATGAATGTTAAATTTTGTCTCACTTGTGTATTTGATAAGGTAATGCTCTTTCTCTCTGTCCCTCTCTCTCTTTGTTTCTGTGTCGTAAAAAAATAAAAGAAACCCTAAGCGCCAATTAATTTGGGATTAATAATTGGTAGATTTTTTTTTTTTAAATGTCAGGTGGGTTTATTTTAATTGGGCAATCGCTATTTCTAAACGCAATTTTTGATTCATTAATCACGATTAGAAAATCTAATTAGAGAGGGGGGTTTAAAAAGTTTGGGGGAACATATGAAGAGAAAATATATGTTTACGTGGGTTAAGAAAGAACTTAGTAGTTTGGGGGGGAATAAGTAGGGTTTATGTGTTCAGAGGGGGAAATAGGCAGTCAATCCTTTATTAAATCATTTCCTAATTCAAATTTACCTAAATTTTTGTGTTTAACATATTTCCTAAAATGATTTAGCTAATTTTAGGAATATTGAATTTAAAATCGATTTAACAATATTAAACTTGGATATTGTTACCATTACTTATTTTGAATAAAATTCAAATTTAAAATCAATATTAGAAAATATAAAAATATGCTTAAAATATATGTTAAACCATTACTATTACCATTGATTATTTAATCTATGTATACTAGGATTTAAATATCCTTAAATTACTTATAGAACAATATAAAATGTGTGTAACCAAATATTCTTTCTAATATAATTAAATATCGGTTAAAAGTATCTATATTTTAAAATTTTCAAAAATATATATTTAACCATCTAATATTTATGATTGAATATTCTTTTTCTGATGTATCTAAATCTCGTCATATGGTCCCATATCTAATCAAAATATTTAAAAATTTATTACATTTAGAAAACAATTCGCGTAAAAAGAAATATTCTCTTAAAAGTTTTTGAATGCAATGGTAATGAACAACAAGAAATCTAAATAACAAGAACTAAAGGGATAGAAATAACCGAGGGTATAAGGAGCCTTTAGCTCTGATACCAAACGTTACAGCCTGAGAAATCAGACTATAAAAATGGTCGACTGAGGTTTGGTTTGGTCAGATCTGGTACTTGGAATGGATTGGAGTGGGCGATGGTGCCTAGATGGCTGAGATGAATCCGATTGATACCTGAGGATAAAGAGAACCTTTTTATCAGTTGTTCTGGTTTTAAATGATGAACCGAATGATAAATTAAATGAAGAATGATGAGAAATAAAAAGTACACGATTTTTATAATTTTCGGTTTAAGATGAATGAGATAAAACTAGATTATATGCAATGGATTAAAAAACAAATAAAAAGAGACAAAGAGATGGATGGATGGATCCTTGTTGCTGGACTGATGCTCTCTCAACAAGAACAGTGGATGGTGATGGAATGAAGATGAGATTTGCTTGCTGGATGTGTATCTCTCTCAAACAAATCGTTGGATGGAATGGAAGTGAAGAATCACCACAAGTTTTGGGGTTGAAACTTGATAAGATCCGAGGCTGCTGTCTAGCAAGGAGTCTCACGCAAACTAGAGAGAGCTTTTAGGTTTTTAGTTGCTGGGGCAAACTGACACATATATTTCATAAGCTAAAAAACTTACATGTCCACTTATAAGGGGTTTATATAGCACCCATTGTGGTTTGCCCTTCTTGGGGTCTTGAATCAAAGAAAACAACATGTAGTTCAAAGCATTAAGGCCTAAACAGCATGGGCCGACTCAAACCTATGGATTCTAAGCAAAGGCTAAACAAAGGCCTTGAAATTATTGGACTCAAAGAAATAAAAATAAAAATAAAGGACCAATAATTTGGCCATAATGCCTTAATTTCGAAATTAAATAAACCAACACAAACCAAAACCAATAAACCGGTTAGAAACCATAATTGAAACCTTACTAGCTTACCTTGTGGATTTTAGGGGATTATCCATAACCGGACTCGGTTTGGGACGGGTTGGAAACGAGTTCGCAAATGGAGAGGATTAGACCGGTTCGGTTCTGGGCTAGCGATCTGAATTGGACCGGGCCTGCTTGATCTTGAACCTCTATTGGACCAGATTGATCTTGGATCTTCAATTGGAACATTTCTTCAATCAACAGCTGGTTCTGGCCGGTTTGCTCTTCTTGGTCTAGGATCTCTTGGACAGGTTTGGAGAAACCTTGTCATATGGCCCTAGCTTCGCTTCGGGTGGTCGGGCCTCGTCGAAAAATAGGAACTTATACTTGGATTGCCGCATCATTCCCTCCCCCTTGAAAAGGTTCTGGCCTCAGAACACCATCATTTGCAAGAAAAGGAGACAAATCTGACACATTGAACAGATGGGAAATCTTAAACTTCTCCTGAAGCTCTATCTTGTAGGTGTTGTAATTGATCTTCTCAAGAACTCTGAAGGGACCAGTTCCCTGTGGTGACAGCTTGGACTTTCTCTCTTCTGGAAACCTCTCAGGTCTCATATGTAACCACACTAAATTGCCTGGTTCGAATAATACCTCCTTTCGGTTCTGGTCGACCCCGGCCTTAGCCTTGGCCGTCTTTGCCTCCAATCTCTCTCTGGTCTTCTAGTGTAGGTATGACGAACTCCGCCTTAGTGGCTCCATCTCGACTGCGGTACATAGGACTAGGAAGGGCCTCAAAGTCTACTGGAGTCTCCAGCTGAAAACCATAGACAATTTCAAAAGGAGATAAGTTAGTAGCAGAGTGTTTTTCATGGTTATAGGCAAACTCAATGAATGGCAATGTAACACCCGCATTTTCCAAAATAATATATAAATAATAATGTCTGAAATCTCCATTTATTAAATCGCATAAATCATCTCAAAAACTCCATAAATCCAAATAACGTAATAACTCTCGAAAATATCGATAAAATCATAAGTCTGAAAATAAATAAATAAAACTCCCAAAAGCACCAGTCCGAAAAGATCACACTCGATCGTCAGTATCACCTGAAAGGGGAAAGAATGAGAGGTGAGTAACAGGGGAGTCACTCAGTGAGGTATGGGATGCTAAACACGCAAAACACTGACTTGAGTAAATAGAACTCCCACTAAGGAAGTTTAGCTCTAACANCACTCAGTGAGGTATGGGATGCTAAACACGCAAAACACTGACTTGAGTAAATAGAACTCCCACTAAGGAAGTTTAGCTCTAACATGAACAAACACGGCACCTAGAGCGCCCACAAAACAACCAATGCGATGATAGCATATAGCTAATCCATACACCCCGCATACTCCTCATAAGGATATAGATATATACTCGAAGCGGCTATAGCACAGTCTGTCTCTGTACCCCCGCCCAACCGTAGCGTCGAATGCAAACGTCTCTGCATCACGCCCCAAACAGTAGCGTCGAAGCTCAAACGTCTCTGAACTCACGCCCCACATCGTAGCGTCAAAGCCCGGACAGCTCCGAACTCACGCCCCTCACATAGTCCCTACTCATAACTATGTATACGTACATATATATATTGCATTACTTAGCGTCAAACAATCCAAAACATAGTTGAATCCTCTAGACCCCTAGTTCCGGTTACAACCAATGAACTAACTACCAAACAAAACTCAGACAGACTCAATTCAAACAGACGGATCATGCTTTGAAATCTAAACTACGATAGAAAGAATTCTATACTGGTACGGGATTTACGGAATAGACCCTCACCTTTGCCACGGGTTCTGAAGAAAACCTGAGAAAACACTGAATGACCTTGACAGCTCTAAAACAGCAACTCCTGAATTCTCTGGAAATAGATAAATGTGATGATTCTGGCAGAACTAAACCATAGAGATAACAGATCAATAACTCAAGAACTGACCGTTAACTTTTCAATCCCTCCGGTCAGGATGTAGTCCTAGACGTCCTCTGTCCATAGCTACCNAAGAAAACCTGAGAAAACACTGAATGACCTTGACAGCTCTAAAACAGCAACTCCTGAATTCTCTGGAAATAGATAAATGTGATGATTCTGGCAGAACTAAACCATAGAGATAACAGATCAATAACTCAAGAACTGACCGTTAACTTTTCAATCCCTCCGGTCAGGATGTAGTCCTAGACGTCCTCTGTCCATAGCTACCAAGTTTACACCGATCAGACACCGTTTGATTACTCAAAATAGCCTCGCCTCCAAGTTGGTCGCAAACGCAGACTGCACCAACACCTTTCACGAAAATAAACATAACTCTCAGAAAATAATTCTAAATGATGATCCGCTTGCTGGGGATGATAGATAAAAGAACTGGCTACTTAATGATAAATTTCCAGACTGAAATCTTTCGATTAGGTTGACCGTTTCTCCTTTACGCTGAGACTACTCGGAACTGCCTCTGCAACACAACAGTTTAATTATCGCCACGAAGAACGTCAATAACTTTCTAACTGTACCTTTGTTTCACGATCTGAAAGATGATCTAGAAAGCTGACATCGAGATCTTTCCAATGATATCTCTCTCGTTTCCTGGTTCATTCTGGATCAACGGGAAAATATTGATGAAGATGACTGCTGGTAGATCCGATCTGCAGAAATCAGTCCCGAAGAAATAATCATAACTCTTAGATAAAAATACCAAATGACGATCCGTTTTCTGATATACGTAGATATACGAGTGTAGAACATAACCTCAAAATTTGGATTCGAAATTCCTAGATTTGACTGATCGTTCTTTTGTTATCCCAAAACGTGTCTGCTGAGCTTAATCTCTCTTTAAATAAGAAGAATTTAGGGTTTTCTACCACACTACTGGGCCAAGCCGGGCCGAATTTACTGGGCTGGATTTTGGGTCGTTACAATTCTCCCCAACTAATAAGGAATTCGTCCCCGAATTCAGCTCATGATCTGACTGTCTAATATCATACTAAAAATGTCATGAATAATCTATCATCATATGCATCTTAGTCTCCCAAGTCTCCTCCTGGATCACATCTCTCTCCCAATGAACCCTGCCGTTCCAAAATCTCAATTGGCTGAATAGGTGCAGAAATTTTTTTACCGAGATCGCATGGTGGTGCTGCTGAAAAATGAGCTCTG